GTGGCCAGGCTCATCTCTGCCCTTTAGGATGGCTTTTCCCGCAAGGAGAGGTTGTGGTCCCCCACAGCCTCTTCTGCCAAGTGCTGACAGCACAGCAGTCGTGTCCCCTGCCTCAAATCCAGCCCTGGGGTGGGCACATGGGCTGCTGGGGAGCAGTGCTGTGTCCTGGGGGAAACTCCAGTGGGAACTTGCCTGCTGGAAGATAACTTTTGCCAGGCCACCAAAACCAATGTAATTCAATCCTCATGACAGAGGCTTTCAGGAGGGAAGACAGACAGGACTCCTTTTGCTGATTCCCTGGGATGATGTTCAGTTCTCATTATTCTGCCATGTGCTGCTGGTGCTTTGCTACCAGCAGATCTCCATCTCCTGGGTCCCCACCAAACACCTTTGCAGAAAGGAGATCTGTCTTGGCAGTCTTTGCTCCAGGGTCCCAGCCTTGACCCCAGTGTAATTTGGAGGTGTGAGGAGGCACCAGCCGTGCTCCATCAGAAGCAGCCACAGGGCATGGGGCTTGCCAGGCTGAGCCACCAGAAACCCGCTGGCCTGGAGGCTTTGGGCTCAAGCAGGTGTTTGGAAGGAATCTGGTGACCTCTTGGCATTCTGTGGGAAGATTAACCTTATACCCCCACTGCTTCCAGCAGCTGCTTGAATACCTTAAGGAAATTAGGAAAGAGACTTGGCACTGTGTCATTCCTCCATGCAGCCCAGAGCTGAGCCCAGCTGGGAACAGGAGTGATTCCTACTCCAGGGCCATGTTTGTAAGAATTGGTCCTCCCAAATTTCACCCCTGAGGTTACCCAGTGAGATCAAGCTGCTTGAGGCTGTGCGAGCCCAGTAATGGAGCTGAGAGGAGATCTGGGGGAGAGCTGCTGGAGGCAGGAACCTTTGCAGGGAGCCACAGAGGAGCTCCTGAGTAGGAAAAGAGCAGCCTGAGCCCTTGTTGTGCCCCTCTGGGGTATAAAGAGAGCATCAATGTTTGCGTTTCCCGGGCAGGATGGCGGCTGCTCCTCGAGGCTGAAGGGCTTGGCCAAGGGCTGCTGTGGCTGGTGGTGTCTGCCCCTGTTACCTGTTGAAGCTCCTGAAGTCCCACGCAGGGGGTCTCATGGGCGGTGGGTTCTTGCCATACACGGCATTGGCATTGTCCCTGTCACCAAAGAGCTCCTGCCATGGGGACCGGTAGCCCTTGGGGATGGCGGTGACGTTGAACTTCTCGTGGGGGATTTCTTTGAGGGGGCTCGAGTACCCTGTGCAGGGGAGAGACAGTGTGGGCTGCTGGGGCAGAGCCAGGCTGAGGCAGGGGGCTGGGAGCAGCCTCTGCATGGCCATGGCCTGTTACTGGGGCAGGAATGAGTATCTATAACATACATACACACATATATATATGTATATGTGTACACACACACACATTTGTACACATAAAATCTCAGTAGGAGGGTAGGGCAGACCCCTGAGCAAGCAGCAGCTCGCTGCCCCCAGCCCCATGTTGCTGAGATCACAGTGGGTTGGGTTCAGGTGCAGGAAGCATTGACTTACCTGGGGCCAGGGCACTGGGGTTCAGGACTTTGCTCATGTGCAAGACTTTCTCTGACTTCTTGGGTACTTCTGGGGGGCCACCTTGGGGTGATGCTGCTACGTGGAGCTCAGAGTGATAATTCTCCTGGCCCCCAGCATTCTCACCTGACTGTGGAGGGCAGAGTTAACAGGCAGAGGGGGAGCTCCCCCTGCTCCATTTGGGACTCAGGGGGTGGTTGAAAGCACCTCTGAGCTTCCTCCATCTACTCACCATCTGTTCATTCACTGTTCCTTCTGGATCACCTTTCCCAGTGTGGTGTGAGCCACCTGCCCCTTGCCCTGGGAGCTGCAGGAGACAGTGAGTGGGTGCAGAGGGGGATCTGCACCATCCCCCTCCTCTTTGGTGAATATTGAACCCCATGTTTGCCCATCTCAGTGCCCAGCCCACCAGGACATCTCTCCTCTCCCTTCACCTCTGCATAGCAGTCAGCCAACCATGTCTGCCCTGCAGAGAGACCACTGACCCCACCAGGAATTCCTTCCCTGGAAAAGCTGCAAGGGCCAGGGAAGGGCTGTCCCCAGACCCACCTGCCTGGAGCCACTGGGGTGCTCGAGGACGAAGCGCTGCACGCGCTTCTGGCGTTGCTGGAAGAGGCGGGAGCCGCGGTTGTGGGGCAGGGAGAGCTCCTCGATCATCAGGTCGTGTGTTGTGCTCATCTTCTTGCCCAGGTCCAGCTGGGGCTCTGGGGAGGCTGGGAGAGCACAGCTACAGCTGAGGATGCTGCAGTGTTGGGGACCCCTAAGGCAGCACAGACTGTGAATGCCCTCCCTGGGGTCTCTGTTTTGTGGCTGGGCCATTTGCCCACGCCAGGGACTGGCATTTCCTCAATGTGAGGATTGTCAGGGAGCTCCAGAGGTTCAAGCAGCCTCTCCCACCCTGTGCCTGGACTGTTCCAGCAAAAACAGGGCAAGTGGCCTCAACCAGAGCTGGGTCTGGCCCCTAGGCAGGGAAGGCAGCACTGCCCTGGGGCTGGTGACACACCTGCACCCCCTTACCATCTTCAGGGCCCGGTCTCATGATGGCCATCACTTGCTGCCGTGCTCCTGGGGCAGCTCTGTTGAAGAGGGATGGATCCTGTCTGGCTGGAAGAGAAAGGCACCCCAGGAGTGACACCAACAATGGGAACATGTCAGCCCCAGGCATGCCCCAGAGAGATGTTAGGATTCAGCTGAGCATCTCTCCTGGTCAGCATCATCCCCAAGGATCTCCTTGCACCGCTCTGTGTCCCCTTCAACAGACACAGGGAATGTTCAAATCACACTGCCCCTCAGCCCCTGCCTGTCCTTCTTCCTCTCTGCCTTTCTTTAGGGCAGAAACTGTCCTTGCCTGTGTCTTTGCCCACGGTGAGCTGCTGTCCTTGTGCCCTGAGCTCTCTCGGAGCAGCAGGTGCTGGCCAAGCAGGGGCCCTGGCTACCGCCCCCCCTTAGCAGAGCTATTTTCAGCTGCTGGCTCCGAGGGTGCAGGGGCTGCAGCCCTGAACCTGCAGGGAGCTGCTGAGCCCAGCCAGCAGCAAGAAGGGTCACGGCACCACTCAGCTCCATTGTGGAGAGGCGGCTGGAAACCAGCTCCAATCTGAGCCCCCTGAGCTGCCCCCTGCAGCAGAGCCCTCCTGTGCTGCCGGACTCTCGGCTCCCCAGGTGCTGTTCTACCCTGTTTGGTGCATCTGGCACCCCTCAGCTCAGGCTGATGCAGGGCAGCTTCCCCTAAGGGCCCTGGGGTGCTGGGGCTCCCATGGGGCTCCCGTGGGGCTCCCGTGGGGCTCCTGTGGGGCTGGGGTGCCTGGCACACAGCTCCCCGCCAGCCCTGAGCTCAGCACTGACCATCCACACAACCAGCCAGGGACCTGCACCCCATCCTTCCCTCTGCCCCGCTCCAGGGAGACTGTTCCCTGACCCCCACAGTGGTGGTGTCCCCTTTTCCAAGGACATCCCCAAACCCCATTAATCCACCCACCTGCTGAGCCCCACGTGGGACCTCACCTTCCCTACCTGGCCAGGGGATACCTCAGATGCTTCTGGGGAACTGAAGGTGCTTCTCCTGCTGTGCTGGGGATGAGGCCGAAGCCAAGCTGCAGCCACCAGCACTCGGTGGCCTTTGCTGGCCCTTCGCGGCACCCTCGGGCTCCTGCTGCTCGCCCTGACCCGTCCTGGGCTCCAGCCCAGATGCCAAGGTCCAGCCACGGGACAGAAGTTATTTCTGGCTGAGAAAGGGGGCGGAGCAGGGCTGTGACCCTTGGGGACTGCGTGGAACAGGTCTGACTCAGGGATGAGGATGCCATGATCCCGGCATGGAGCAGGGCTCTGACCCTTGGGGACCAGGACGCCACCACCCAGCATGGAGCAGGGCCGACCCACAGGGATGCAGACACAGCACGGAGCAGGGACAACCCCTGGGGACATGTAGCAGCAGCAGGAGGTGGCCGTGTGCCATGTGTGCCCAGGCCACCTTGGGGACAGATCAGAGCCAGCCTGGGTGGAATAACGGCGGTTTATTTCTGAACTTGTACACAGCGGTGTGGTGAAGGCCCTGGCGGCTGCTGGAGCGAGGGGGGAGATGTGTCCTGGAGGAATGGGGGGCTGTGCTCCAGGAGGGGCAGCTGCAGTGTGGAGCTGTTCCAGGGATCAGGGGTGGGCTGGCTTCAACAGCGTGTCCTGGGGAAAGGGAAAGGTTGATGGGCTCTGTGAATGGGATATGCTAGAGCCCTGGCAGCCCAAACACAACATCCTTCCCAGTGCTGGCCCCCAGGTGAGGGGACACCGACATTCTCAGAATCACCTTCTGTGCCAACCTCTCTCAAACTCTCTGCAACTTCTGCCATTTCTTTCATCTCCTACAGTTCCCCACCTGCCCTGGCTGTCACAGCACCCATTGGTTCCTGTGTGTGCCTCCATCCCACCGGAGTGGGGATGGGGATGTGGTGAACTTGGGTTTGGGGACAGTGACAGGTACAAGATGGGGCTTCCCGCTTGATCTGAGCAGAGCAGGAGGGCACCTGTAAACAGCCCCCTTAACATGGCAATAAATTACTTTGGCTCTTTTTGGTCTTTAGGGAAAGAAGGATTTGGGAGAATTTCTTTGAGGAGGAGTCAAAAGTTTAAAAAAAATATAAAAAAAAAGGTAGTGAAGAACTGGGGAGCTGGAACTAAAAATTAAATTTTCCTCTCCAAAATGTGGTTTTAATTGACACCAGCCAAATCTGGAGGCTGGGAGCCGCTGGGAGAGCCTGGCATCCAATCGATGCAGCCCACATGCACAGATGTGCCCCCCCAGGAAAGCAGAGCTGCAGTGGCACCCCTGGATAACACCTGGGAGCTGGGGACAAGGGCCCACGGGGACCACCAAGCCCATCCCATGCTGGCTGTGCGGGATGGGGCTGGCTGGCAGGCAGGGACTGCTGAGGGAGGGGCAGTGGGGGACGGGCAGAGTGGGGCTCCCCCACTCTGCCCGTCCTGCCTGCTGACCACGCAGTCCTGCCCCGAAAGGTTAGTGTGGTAAAAATAGAGCGGGGCTATGGCATGGCGGGCGGGCGGGAGGCACCTGACCCCTCTGGCACACGCAGGGGTCGTGGCAGCTCCGAAGGGACAATTTTGGGGACCTCAGCCCCGGGGGTTGGTGCGTTCCTGGTGGGGGTGAGAGGGTGGCATCACCCGGGCTGACCTGTCGAGGGAGAGGGTTTTGTGGCGGGGGCTGGCTTGTCTAGGAGGTGCAGGGAGCCCCTGAGGGCAGAGCCCCCGTCTTCAGCCGCAGGCTGCCGGTCCAGCCCCGGGGACAGAGGTTGAAGCTGTGGATTCCCGGGCTCTTGGTCCCCGAGTCTTCGGAGTCGAGGGAGACGTCCGAGTCCGTCGGGGACCGGGAGGTGCAACGCTTGGCCGGAGACCGCCCGGCCACCACGGGGGATGGCAGGGGGCTCTTGGGGCCGGGGGACAGCCTGGCCACGGGGCAGGAAGACGCGCTGGATGGCAGCAGGAGCCGGCGACCCTCTGCCCAGGCGGCTCGGGGCATCCCGGGGGAGGCGCAGCACTGGGGGCTGCCTGCCCGGGGCGATCGCAGGGGGCTTTTGTGGGGGGGCGAGGGGCTGCCCAGGCTCCCCAGCACGCCGCTGGCAGCCTGGGGCGCTCTCGGCCCCAGCCGGGGCGACTGGGGCAGGCTGGGGGGGCCGGCAGAGATGGGGGTGAAGGGCCGGCAGCTCTCCGGCCCCCCGCCTTTGGGAGAGGAGCTCTTCCTGCGGGCGGCGTTGATGATGTTCCTGGCCAGCCGCGCTTGCATCTGCCGGCTGGCCCGGGGCTCCGCGTCCTGCCGCAGCGGGGACAGGGACCTCTCGCTCCACGGAGGGGACCTGGGCGGTCCCTCGTCCAGCTCGGGCACCGAGGCCGGGCTGGCCCAGCCGTCCAGGCTGCCCGGGCGCCGCGCCAGCCGGGGCGTCCAGGTGGGAGACGCAGGGAGGGACGAGCGCCTGTCCTGGAGAGGGACAGAGAGCGGGTTAGTGACCCCACTCGGGGCAGAGCAGGGGTACAGCGGCAGGAGGGTGACAAGGTAAGATTCATGCCGGCACAGCCCCACAGGAGCTGTGGATGTCTCCTCGTGCATTGCACCCCTGCGAGGGGTCCCCAAAACGCATTTGACCCTACACCCCCTCGCCCATCAAGGAGATGGGAGCAGGCTGAGCCTGCCGTTGATCATCCTTGCCCAGAATATGTCCCAGGACCTGTCATTACCTGCAGCTTCCTAAAGTCTGCCTCTGGGGGATGCTCGGAGCCCCCCCTGCACTGCCCCAGGATCCGTCACCCAGCACTGCTCCCCAGACGGCAGGAAAGAGAAGAGCCAGGTGTGACAGCGCAGAGAGTGTATTCAGAAAGAGAGGAAAAAGAAAAATGCAGGAGAAATAAAGCACAGTCAAAAGGCAACTTGGCACCATGGGGAAAGTGGTGAGAGGGCATGGGCAGAGGCACAGCTGGATGACAAACCTTGGGCTGAGCATCACCCAGCAGCCCTGCCCTCGGCACCCTCCTCATCCCAGCACGTCCCTTGCTTCCAGCAGTGCCACACAGCACTGCCCAGCCCAGCTCCAGCACTGAGCCCGGGTGGGGACAGGAACCCCACCAGGACCCTGGGCCCAGTGCCACTGGACTCTGTCATTCCCCGAGGGATGCAGTTCTTCCTCCACAGTGAGGAAGCAAACAAGGACAGATCCTGAAGGAGAAGCAGGAGAGCCAGGAGCAGGCACAGTGAGGCAGAAAGGCAGTGTGTCCCTCCAGGTTTGCTTTGGTAGGAAGCTGAGAAGAGCTCAGGACAGAGGGGATGTGAAGGAGCAGGCAGAGCTCTGAGAGCTGGAAAAGCCAGAGGCGAGGAAAGGAGGGAGCCAGAGGTGCGATGATGCTCCGTACAGTTTCCAGGTGAGAGAAGAGCAGGAGCAGCCCTGTGGGACAGGCAGGCTCCTGCTGGCTCTTTGGGAATCCTGCAGGTTCTGTGCCCAGTTCCTGCTGCCTGCCCGGGACTCCTCAGCTCCTGTTGCACCGGGGGCTCAGCAGCGCCTGTCACCCACTGTCCCAGCGCTGCAGCCTCACAACCACTTCTCATTTCTATTTTCTTTTCTTCCCGCCCCCCTCGCCTTTCTTTTTTTTTGTGGTTGGTGTGGCTTTTGGCACTCCCACAAGCAGTTAGGGAGGACTCAGCCTAGCACCGCTGCGTTTTTCTCTCTGCCACCACTACTTGTAGTAAAAAGAAGGTTTCCACACCTGGGGCTCGATGCCGGCATTCCTGGTGGAGTAGGAGGGCCGGGGTGCCTGGAAGCCCACCTTGGCCCGGGGTGGCAGGCGGCACGGGGAGGCTGGCAGCGCCTCGGCCGGGGCTCCGGCGCTGGCACGGCTCTCGTGAGGCAGGGCCAGAGCCCCAGCAGCACCGGGGAACGGGCTGGCCACGGGCTGGCCAGAGCTGGGCACCACGGGGGGATGCCAAACCGGGGAACGAGGCAACGGAGAGGTCGGGCAGGAGGCTTGCTGGGGATAGGGGTAGGAGTCGGGAAGAGAGGGTCTGGGTGGAGGCACCTCCTGGGGCATGGACCTTGCTGGCCCCTTGGATGGGGACAGGATGAAGAGAGAAGACTGGAGCTGGTAAGGCTGGTGCCTGGAGATCTCCAGCTCCTTCTGGGACACCTCGTTCTCCGTGAGGTTGTTGCCGTACAGCGATGCAGGAGGGGTTTTGGAGGGCCTGCAGGGACTCTTGGAGGGGCGTCTGGAGACCATGGGTGACAGGTAAGCATTGTTGTCATACTTCCAGGAGGGAGGCAGGGACATGGTGGGTGATGGGGACCGCAGCAGCTCAGGCTGGGAGGGAGCCTCAATGATGAACTTCTCCATCCTGGATTGTCGGCGGGCAAAGAGCTCAGCCCCCTTCCCTCTCGCTTCAGTGAGGATGTGGCTGGGCTGCGGCTTCTTCTTGGGCTGGATGGTGGGAGACTTGAGGCAGGAGGACCATGCTGGAGCATCCTCAGCCGGTGGGAGGTGCTGCACAGCCCTGGCTGTGCTGTTGGGGACAAAGTTTGCAGCTTCAGCCCCGAGGGCAAAGGGCTCATCCTCGGCGCTGGGCTCCCCCTGCTCCTTCTGCTTCTTCCTGCTGTCTGCACTCTGAACCAGGTCCAGCAGGTCGGGGTTTGGGCTCAGCTTTGGCTTCTCCAAGAAGGTGAACATGGACTTTCTGCTGGCTCTCCGGGCAGCCGACTCCTCCAGGATCCCTGTTTTGGGCAAGGGGTTTGGTCCGCTCACCCCGCAGGCCAGGAGGGGGTCTGGCAGCATCTTCTGCTCCTGGCTGGGGTACAGGGCCGAGTAGGCAGGGGGGGAGCGGACACGGGTGAGGGGTGGGGGGCTGCTGAGGGTCTCTGCATAGGTTGGTGGTGGGGGCAGCTCGGGGGCAGGGGGTTCCTCGGCCGGCTGGGCGCTGGCGGGGGATGCCTGGGTGCCGAAGGGTCTGGCTGTCCGGTTCTTCACAGGCTTGGGCTTGGCCAGGGTGAGATGGACCTCGTAGTACTGCCGGCCCTGTGTCCCGTTCTGCTGCTGCCCGGCTGGGGGTGCCATCCCTGTGGCTGTCCCCGCTGGTGCGCTGGGCACCTCGCTGGGCATCTCACCGGGCACCTCACCGGGCACCTCACCGGGCACTTGGACGTTCTTCCCCTCCTCGGGGCTCCGTGGCAGGACAAGAGCCGCCGTGTTCGGCCCCGCAGGGGCTGCTGCATTTCCGAGCCCCTCCAGCCCTCTCTCCATCCCGCTGGCTGCCTGCTCCTGCACGCCGTTGGTGGTGGCCGATGCCATGTTCTCCTTCAGGTAAACGCTGAGTGGGACCTGCTGGGCCTCAGCAGGAAGCTCCTGGCACGGGGAGGCGTTTGCCAGCATCCCCTCTCCTGCCTTGCCAGGCTGCTCAGGCTCCGGCTTCATGCCCTGCCGCTGGCTCTCCTCCATGGCTCCTTGAGGGGGTTGGGGCGCGGGGCTCAGGGGCAGCCCCCCGCCATGCCCGGCCCCCGTGAGCCCCTCGACGCGCTGCCGGCGCCGGTGGAACAGCAGCACGCCCTTGGAGCTGGGGCCGGGCGCCGTGGTGAGCTGAGCCGCGATCCGCTGGCTCCGCGCCTTCGCCTCCTTCAGCTCCTTCTCCGAGAGGCTGGCGCTGCGGGAGAGACCTGGCAGAGAGGAGAGGGGGTTAGAACCCTCAGAGGGGATGTGGGGTGTCCGTCCTCCCCGCCCACGACTGGCAGCCCTTCCTCCAGCTATCCCCCGGCATCCCAACTCAATTCACCCAATTCACCGGGGCTGGGGTACACGGTCCGGGGACAACGGGGACCCAGCACAGCCCTCACGAAGATGCTTGGACAGATAGGAAATCCCAGGGGACACCTAGTGACACTCAGGTCGTTTCCAGCATCCCAGCCCGTGTTTCGGCTGGGCTCTGCGCACCCACCGCGCTGACCGCACGGGAAAGGAATTTCTCGGGGCAGGTCTCCGGTTGCAGCTCACATGGCTCAAAGAGGCAGCGGCGAGGGAGAGGCCAGCGTGTGTCCCCCAGCCCCGAACCCCGAATCCCGGCGTGCTCAGCCCCGAGCGGACAGGACATAAACCGGGGGCAGCGGGGACGTGCCAACCCACCCCGCCCTCACAGCAGGGCCGGTGGGCAGCGCTGGTGGGAGACTCATCTGTGGAGCAACACGAGATGGCAGCAGCCGACAGAAGCTGTGCAGATCCTGCCCAGCTGGTCACAGACAGGGACACAGCGAGGAGCCGCCCTCACGCCTCGGGGCTCCAGAGAAGCGCTAAAAGCAATGTGCTGTAAGCCTGGCGCGGTCCCCGAGTGAGCAGCCCAGCGCCTCTGCGCTTCTCCTGCGCCGGACAAAGGTCAGGGCACCAACCCTTCCCTAGGACTGAAAGGATGTGGAGCTGCCGGGAATGCATTTTCTCAGCGTGAGCAATTTCCTATGAGCTTGCCCCGCCGAAAGTACCCGTGGGAAGGGCAGTGTGCCCCACCCTGCCGAGCCCACTGCTGGGCACAGACACCAGCGCCGACCATCAGCGTCACCCCCGCGCCCAGCAAGGGTGCAGCCCCTCTCCAAATGCCGGGATGGCTCTGATGGGTGGCTCTGCTCTGTCTCTGGCCCCAGCAGGGAGGTGGGTGGCCAAGCTCCCAGCCCTGCTCTTCTTTCCTTCCCATCCCATGCCTTCCCGTCTTCCCTTCCTTCATGTGTTCCTCATTTTCTTGCCTTCTGTGCTGCTTGGGAGTCTTCCAGGATATTTTCAGCAGCGGCTCAGCCTACCAGCGAGGGAAAGGGATGGATGACTAAGCCAAATCCTTCCAGCAAGCCCACGGTAAGCAGGAGGGCTGCAGGAAGCTGGGCAACTCCTGTTCCTCACCCTTCATCCCTCCTGCCTCCCTCAGCAAGCACCCAGCAAGTCCTCGCACAGAGCTCAGGTGTGCAGGATGCCCGGGATGAACTCTTCAGGCTGCCAGCCGGAGGGATTTATCCGGGCGGCGGGCAGAGGAGGCAAAGACACCAGTGTAAACCCTGCTGGGGACGAGGAGCCCGGCGGCAGCGGCGACACCGGCGGCCCGAGCGGGCCCGGTTCGCGGCCGGCATTGTTTGTTCAGCGCCGTTTCTGTTTGCCTTGGCCGGAGCGGGGCCGCCGCTTCCTCCGGCCGGGCTGCCTGGAGGGCGGCCAGCACCGCGGCTCCGCTCCGCGGGGTCACCCTCGCCGCCTTTATCTCCGAAATGGAGCAGAAACACGGCCAAGGAGCCGTTGAGAAACAAGCCCCAGGCTCCAGATGTCTGCGGGTTTCGTGCTCCGAGCGCAGCATCCCCGCTTCTCGGCGGCCGGGGCTGCCTAAGAAGCCGAGCTCTCGGCGGAGCCATTTCGCAGCCTCTTGCTCTTGCTACTGCCTTTTAACAGCAAACGAGGGGCCCTGGGGGATCTCCTCCGTGCTGGAGGGATGACTCAGCTCCTGGCCAGCCCGTTCCTGCTTGGACTAGCCGCCAGATACGCTCCCACGTAGCCGGGACAATACCGGGATTTGCCCACAGGGATTTTGTCCCTGGGTGTCTCCATCCCTTGCTGTCACCACAGCATGGCTCTGGGCTGGGGTGTGCTGCAGGGTGGAGTCTACCACCTAAAATCCATTAATCCACCACCTGTAATCCATTTCCATCCATGCCCGTTCCCCTCCAGTCTTCCAGCACCCTCAGGATACTGCTTGAGATGCTGAGGGTAAGAATTGCTCTTCACATCCGATTTTGATGACACAGATTAAGAGCACTGAAGCCTCTGGCAGTCCAGAGGAAATTGCTGCAGCCTGAGCCATGGGATGAGGTTATTCACCCAGTGCAAGAGCCTTTATCCCTGTGCCATGGTGTCTGGAGGGATTCTGCCACCTGGGGCAGTTTCTACACCACACACTCTCCTCCCAGCCACAGGGAACATTCCATTATCCTTCTCTGCCATCTCCTGACAGCTGGTAGCCCTGGGTGGGCTCTGTTTCGTCCTTTCCCCAGCCCCCAGCAGGCGGGAGGGAGCTGAATGCACTGAGAATGTCCAGGTGCTGGGGAGGAGAAGGAAAAGGGGTGTGGGGCTGAAGGCAGCCAAAGCCGTGCAGGAAGGAGGTGAAAGTAAAACTACTGCATGTGTCCAAGGGCACTGGGAACTGCTTTCCACCCATTATCCTGAGTCCAGTCCAAAATCCAACAGGTGATGGCCTTTCCTTTCCTTTCCTTTCCTTTCCTTTCCTTTCCTTTCCTTTCCTTTCCTTTCCTTTCCTTTCCTTTCCTTTCCTTTCCTTTCCTTTCCTTTCCTTTCCTTTCCTTCCTTTCCTTTCCTTTCCTTTCCTTTCCTTTCCTTTCCTTTCCTTTCCTTTCCTTTCCTTTCCTTTCCTTCCTTTCCTTTCCTTTCCTTTCCTTTCCTTTCCTTTCCTTTCCTTTCCTTTCCTTTCCTTTCCTTTCCTTTCCTTTCCTTTCCTTTCCTTTCCTTTCCTTTCCTTTCCTTTCCTTTCCTTTCCTTTCCTTTCCTTCCTTTCCTTTCCTTTCCTTTCCTTTCCTTTCCTTTCCTTTCCTTTCCTTTCCTTTCCTTTCCTTCCTTTCCTTTCCTTTCCTTTCCTTTCCTTTCCTTTCCTTTCCTTTCCTTTCCTTTCCTTTCCTTTCCTTTCCTTTCCTTTCCTTTCCTTTCCTTTCCTTTCCTTTCCTTTCCTTTCCCATGACACTGTCCCTCAGGAAGGAAACATCTCCCCTCTCTGAATGTCCCTCTTTCCCAAGACAAGGAGCCCCACCAGCCTTCTCCAGGGCCCTGTGCCGATGCTGCAGGAGGTGCCCCCTGTGCCCATGGAACTGCCAAGCCCTGCACACACGAGCAGCCCCAGGTGCTGCTCTGGTTTAACTCACTCCAGCTCTGGCCACACAAGCCCGTAGATCTCTATCTATATATTTATATAGGCACTTGCTCTGTAGGTTTTCCGTTGCTCCAGGGGTGATTTCCTGAACATCCCCCAAGTGCAGGGCTCAGCAGCTTCTTGCCGAGCTGTCAGTCATCCTGCCCACGGCATGTGCACTGCTCTTTCCTCCACAGCGAGGATGACGAAGGTGATGAAAGGCATTTTTGTTACTCTCACTTCCTGGGCAGATGGGGAAAAGAATTCCTTCCATCTCAGCTTTCCATGCAAAGGATGGATCCCCCTGGAGGGTGCTAAAGCGGGATGTCTGAAGTGCAGCCAGGAAAGGCTGGAATCACCATCTGACCTCAAATGAAGGTGAAGGATGTATCAGACATGGCTTGTGACCCATCCTGCCCTAAGATGGACTCCGAGAGCTGGAATGGGATGAAGATTTGGCTTTAAATTGCAGTTTTGCTGAACTGATGAATTCAGTGAAATTCAGTGATGCTCTTGACATGGCTGGGATGCCACAGGAAGGAAAAAGAGTGACTTGGAAGCTGTGCCTGCTGAGAAGTCCTTGTATGCAGAAGACAAGAGGTACCCAAGTCTTAATGACCTGCAGGGTGCCACAGGTCATGAGAAATCTCGGAGTCAGAGCTGGCAGGTGACTCCAAAGTTCTTCATTTGGGCTCTGTTCCTGGCCTGCTCCCAGTCTGGATGCTCAGCCATGCTGGTGGGCAGCCCAGCTTGACCACACTCAGGGTGTCCTACCAGACCACCCCTGACACAGCACCCACATCCATAACCAGCAGGCACTTTTCCCCATTTCCAAACATTTCTTGGACTTCTGTGGTCAACCCAAATGGCAAAACCCCTGCTGGCAAAATCCCACTGGCAAAACCAAGAGCGAAACCAAGACAAATCCCGTTTCCAGAGGGACAGGCCCTGTGCCACCTGACACGAACCCCAGCGCACATCCACAGCCAGGCAATGCTGGGGAGAGGACATCCAGTGTTTTCACCCAAACATTGAGGACTTTGGACACTGAGGAAATGTAAGCAGGTTTTTTGGCAGAGCAGCAAGCTGGCCCCTTGCCCCAGCTACAGCTGTGCAGGATTTTTTTGCAACACGTACCAACTCACACACATTTAAGTCTGTGCACACATTCCCCTCCAGCTCCCAGTTATCCCAAATAATCTGCAGCTAGGAAAACACGGAGGGTAGCACAGACAGGCAGCTGAGCTAGCTAGAAACGGATATGATTCAAACATATGGATAGAAAGATGACAATTTTCTGCCTCATTCCCAGCTTCCAGCCCTCCTATGCCCCAGATACAAAACCTCCACGAAGTTCTTATCTGTGCTGGCCCTGCATCCCCATAAAGATCCAGCTGAAGTCGTGGGTGCTGTGGTGGGATCAACCTCGCCTGCCTGGCAGACACTCTGTGCTGGGCCTCTCCACAGGGGTGCCTTTGCCAGTGACAAAAATGTGGCACAGCGAGAAAATTCGTTGCGCTTGCAAGTTTTCCCTGAGCTCTGTTCGCAGGGGCTTTGCTGGATTTGGAGCTGTTTGCCCCCCCATGCTCCTCCCGGCTCTCAACCGTGCCTGGCACTCAGCACCCAAATCCTGCTGAAATGGCCCCACAGCCTCCAAGCAGCAAGTCCTGGGGCACCCAATCCCCACACGGGGGGAGAAGGGGGTGGTGGGGGTTAAGTTCAAAAGGGGCTGTCTGCCCCTGCCCATCCCCACTTCCTGGGGGATGCAGTCAGCAGCCCCAGCCCCACATGTGCACACACTGGGCAAGAAGAAGCTGTTGCCATCACACAGGTGGAGGCAGCACCTTCCCCAGCAGGCTAAAATCAAGCTTTTATCTTTGGAGAAGGCAGCTGGAGCCGGGTAGACCTCTCCCAGACAGCCCTGCAGAACCAGCCCGTGCCACGGCCGGGTACCACGGGGACTCCATCCATCCTGCCTGGAAAGTGAGTCCCAGCCCCATAGTGCCCAAAGCTGCTGGAACTCGCTGTGACCCATCCCGGGCTGCAGGTCCCGAGGACAGCCCGCCGGGCCGGTGCCCCGAGGCAGCGGCGCTGGCCCGGCCGGAGAAGGTCAAACGGCTCCGAGTGTCCCTGAGGGGTGGGCAGAGCGGGGAGGGCAGCGGAACGAACGGGGCCCTGGCCTGTCCCTTGCACAATCCGTAAAGGATCCATCCTGCTGGCTGCCAAGCCGAGGGCCAAACCTCTTGTCCCCAGCATGGGTGGCATGGCCAGAGGAGGTCACGTCCCTGACGCAGGGGACAGGGGACATCGCCTGGGAAGACGTGGGAGGTGCGACCCTGCGAGCCCGAGGAGGACCCCACGTCCCTCCACGTCCCTCCACGTCCCCGCCGCGTGTCCTCGCTGTGCCTCCCACGCCCCACATCGGACACCCGTGTGCCGGCAGAGGGGAGCGACACCTGCCCCGCTCATTGCTGCGGACAAACCCCGCTCAGCCGCGGCTGTGCGCGCCCCATCGCCCACCCTCCGCCCACCACGGCACCCACGGCACTCCCGGGCACGCACTCCCGTGCCCCCCGTGCACCCGGACCCCAAAGCACCCCCTGAGCACTGCGGCACCCCGGGCACCCCCATCCCCTGCACCCCGCTCTGCGTGCCCGCACAGCCTCCTTCCCCCGGCACTGCTGCACCGGCACCCCCCCGGAGCCCCCGTCCCTGCCCCCCGGCCCCCCCAGCCCCGCCGTACCCGCGGTGCCGGTGCCGCCGCCCCGCGCAGCCCGACTGCACCGGGAGGAGGCGGCGGGCAGGAAAGTTGCGGCGGCTCCGCCCTCGGAGCGGGCCCGGGGGAGGCGGGCGGGGGCCGGGCCGGGGGGGTGGTGGCGGGTCCCGCCGGCGCTGCCCCTGCCCCGACAGACCGACCGACCGGACGGGACGGGTCCCCCCCTGCCCTGCCGCCCCCGATGTTCCTGCTCCGCTGCTTCTCGTCCCGGCTGGGTCTGCCCTGAGCCCGCTGCGGGCGGGGGGGGGGAGAAGCCTGGACAGCCCCTTACTCAGCCCGGGGCATCCCCTGGCCCAGCTCCCCGCATCCCCTTCCCACTCCGGGGCATCCCCTTATCCCATTCTGGGGCATCCCTCTCTCCCAGCTCTGCACATTCCCCTTAACAGTCCTGAGCATCCTCTTACCCATCCCGGGACATCTCCTTACCCAGCTCTTCACCCTTCTTCCCACCTTCCCCCGCAGCACCTTACGTTCCAGAAGCTGATGGGGGTGTAGGGCTTCCCCTTTCCGCAGGTTTCCTCAGTGCCTAAAGTTTTGAGGCACTTGGATGGAGGCAAAAATCCAGAGACAAAAATCCAGCACTGGTGTCAGTGCCCTGGGGAGCTCCTGGAAGCAGTACTGAATCCTCCCTGCCAGGGGTGGTCTGCTCCCAGCCACAAGGGAAGCACAGCCGATCCCTGGGGAGCCAGCATCACCTCCCACCTCCATCACCCCACTGGGGCTGCAGAGCTCCCTGGCTGCGGGTGAGACCGGCCTCACCCCCTTCCCATGCCTGTCCACACCTCAGGATGAGCTCTTGGCTTGATTTTTTGCCTTTCTAATTTCCTTTCTTCCTGCCCCTCTGCGCTTTTTTGTGCTTTCCTGGTTTTTGAGGGAGGCTGGCGCTGGCTCTGCAGCCCCCAGGGAGTGAAACCTTCCGTTTATTTGCACACCAGACAGAGAAACCAGTCCTGCCTCCTGCATCTCCCAGCCGCTGCCTCTTCCCGGGGCTGCTGCGCTCCCCAGCCTGCCCTGAGAGGTGCCAACCAGCCCGGGCCGCCGTGCCGGATATTTGAGAGCAGCCAGCCTGGCCTTGGGCTGCTGGATGGGGACCAAAGGGGCACCTGGGACCCGCCTGGGTGGGCCCACACAGCTCAAGGTGGGGCTCCCGTTTGGCTCCCGGCTCCCAGGGCCAGCCCTGCACCACTCTGGGTGTGGATGGATGCGCCCTCTTCTCCTGAAGAAGCTGGAAGAGGTTCCTGTACCCCATGGCAGCTAAAGAGAAGAGGAGCAAGTCCCTGACATCTCCCAGGGATGCTCCTGCAGACAGCCTGCAGCAGGAACAGCCCTAGTGTTAATTATGAGGGCACCTGCTCTTTCCTCTCACCTCTCTTTCCCAAAGCTGCAGGCTTTTTGTGAGGTCCCAGACCTGCTCTCAGGACCCTCAGTGACATCCTGCCTGCAGGCTCTGGAAAGTCTGACGGGTCCTGCAGGCAGTGGCTGGTGGTGATCTCACTTGGAGGGGGAGGAAACGGGACAGACAAACTCTTTCCAACAAACCTGTTGAGTTACTTTAAAATTCCAGGCTGGCAGCAAAAGTGCTGGATGGTGGGGCGGATTAGGAAAATGCTGAGCCTGGACAGAGTCAGGCCTGACCTTTCCCCACCGCAGATCTGCCATCCCGGAGCAGTGAGAAATGGGAAGACTATTTGGGTCCATCTGGTTTGTGTGCTGAGCCCTGAAACACGATGCTGCTGGGGCAGCTGTGAGCCAAAGGGCTTGGCTGAGCTTCCCAGCCTGTGTCCCATCCAGGAGCCGCTGGTTTGGAGGATGCCTGACACTGCAAAAAGGCAGGGAGTGGGTTCTGGACACCGGGTTGGTGGCAAGCATCCCCAGTCGGTCCCACCCCACCCCGCCCAGTCCTGGGGGCTGCCTTGGGAAAACCAGGCTCTGAGTGAGCAGCAGCATCCCATAACGCCATCCTGTGGGGACAGGGACACACCTGTGTGACAGCTGAGATAACAGCTGGGCAGGAGCAAAATAGAAAGGAGGGTGGAAGCGGGGTTTAAAAATGGGCCCAATGCCTGTAGGAGGATGGGTTCTGTGGGAGCATCTCCCACAGGGATGTGGGGCATTCCAGGCATGGCAGCAGCCCCAGTAACCCTAGATATGAGCCTGTAGTTGTGTCACTATGGCTGCAGGGACAGTTATGGGCACAGCTGTGGCACAGGCTGTGAAGTGAGGTGATGGCAGAGAGCACTGTAGGAACCAACCAGCCTGAAATAAAGCGTTTCGTTTTTAAAGCAGGGGCTGACAAAAATGGCTCAAAGCCATGTGAGGAATGCTTGGCCATGCCCAATCAGTGGAGGAGAGGTGTCCCTGTCCCAGACAGTGCCACAGGAGCTGCTCTTGGGCAGGATCCCACCAAGCCCCATGGCCAGGGTGAGGGCTGGGGAGTCCATCCTGTTCATGCCCCACTGAGGGATGGGTTGAGTTCCTGGAGACAGTGGGAACCCGCCTGCTGCCTTCCCACCCCCCTCCCGAGAAAAGCCACAGATTCCTCCTTATTTTTAAGGCCAGAGAGATCATCTCAAGCTAAATTAGTCCCAGCAACTCTGCTGGAAGCCTGGGACCTCTAACCCAGGGAAAGTCCTGCCCTGGGAAGAGCTGGGTGTTCTCACCAGGAGCACAGTAGTGCCTTTCCCAGGGGGACAGTGGCCAAAGGGGATTTCTCTTACCTGTTTTCCTTGGCTCAAAGTCAGGGTTGATGAGGACCCGTTGGATCTTCACCACTTTCCACTCCTGGCTGGGATTGCCCGTGGGGCTGTCTGCTGCAGGGGGCAGCTCTGGGGCAGAGCCAGGGCACTTGGAAGGGGCTGCAGGCTCCTCTGCCAAGGCCAGGCTGCTGCCATTCAGTGGGGGTTGTGGTGCATCCCCATTGAGCCCCCTGAGGTCCCTCTGGCAGCTCCCACTTGGTTTCCCTCCCAGCAGTCCTGTCTGTGCCTCCTGCTCGCCTGGCTTGGAGGCTGGAGCATCCCAGAGCTGATGGCAGCTCTGCACCTCTCTGCTCCCCCTCTCCTGCCAACAGCCCCTGTCCCCCTCAGTGTCCCCCTTGGCTGTCCCACGGACACAGGGGGGCTGCTCAGCCTCGCCAGGCATGGGGCAGCTGGGCTGGGGGTGGAGGCAGAACTGCTGGAGCCTTGTCCTCAGCATCTTTCTTCACTGGTTTCCTTCACTGGCACTCCAGGGCCTTTCCAAACAGCTCTGCATGGCCAGGGGGGTGGATCCTCCCTCAGAGCATGGGCACCATGAGGGAGGGCAGCCACATGCCAGGCACGAGCTCAGCTCTCGCAGGCAGGAAAATCGGGCACGATGCCACAGGAGCAGGCAGGTTTTGGAGACCCAGGTGGAGGGATGTGTCCAGGGGAGGCAGGCCAACAAGGAGGTTTTTGCAGGAATTTCTCTTTTCCAGGCAGAGGATCAGCATCCAAAGACCTGTGTAAAGGGAAGGAGGAGCATTGAGGATGCTTGTGCTTGCACTGATTTCCTATGGCCACGGAGCAGCTCCCAGCAACCCCAGCCCAACTCCAGCTCCAGCACCGCTTCCCATGAGGAAGGACCTCCTGAAATGCAATTTAGAAATGCCCCAGCCCACCACTGTGCTCACCACCTCAGCACCCTCGTCCATCTGTCCTCACCCTGGGGACAGCAGCCATGGCCGGAGCCCTGTGCCCGGCTCCCCTCGCTCTGTCAGCCCAGAGGGGGCTGTGGCATCCCTGTTAGTGCTCAGCACCAGGGCACCGCTGCTCTGGAGCTGGGAGTGCTCAGCCAAGAACCAGATCCCCGAGGATGTTGCTCAGGGATATCTGGAACAAAAAAGGAAAAGTTCCAGCATCCAGCTAAAGCGTGTTTAACCATTGAGTGACTCATGCGGCGTCAGGACAAGCGCAGACAGACCCACTTCCCTCCTGCCAGGCAGAAATCCTGTCGGGATGACGAACCCACGCACCAACACACACAAGTTATCAGCTGGGAGAGGGGGATGTCATCTCTCCAGGGCAGGATATGGGTTAGAGTGTACGGAAATTCCTTTGAGTCCTGTGCTCGCACAGCATCACCCAGCCCTGCTCACGGCAAGGCTGGTCCCGGGAAAACCTCCTGAGAGATCCACAGCACCCAGGGCACATGGACCACGATGGACTTCCCAACCTAACAGCCAGCTGAGGTGGAAAAGGGTTTCCTGCTCATCCCAAACCCCTCCCTGAGTTACTGAGAGGTTTCTCAGTGAAATAAAAAAAAGCACCAGGTCAACAAGTCAGGTTAAGCTCTGGCAGGAATACACCCTGCAGCTTCCTCAAGGCTCACACAGCTTCTCTGCAGAACTTTTCCTGTCCTTAGCAAGGTTATTTTGGAAAAGAAGGCAGATTAGAAAGCAGGCGCTCGGGCATTTCCCAAACACAAGGCTGCATTTTTTGGAGGACGCCCAAAGGAAATCTTCTGCCTTTTTTGAAATCCTTCCTCCTGCTTCTCTCTGCTGCAATTATTCAGCACAGATTTGCAAAGAGAACCTGAGGAGAAAATGTCAATGTTTCTGTCTGAAAAAGAAATTTCACCCTCCTCTTTACGTAATTTGGGGGATCAATAGTTGCAGGAAGCCACCCACATCTTTCCTTAGAAACATGGCAAGTTGCTGGAGCTGGAGGGAGCTGGCTTATCTCAAATGAGAGCAAAGAGAAAATTGCCCAAAATAGCCCCAGCCCAGCGTGGGTCGGCAGAGAACCTCTCAGGGTGGATCTGCATCTCCCCACTCCCATTTCCTCACCCTATCCCTAGGGAGCAGCTTTCTGGGGCAGCCCAGTCATGTCCACCCAACACCAGAGCTGCCTTGCCAATTTGCTGGGGGAGCTGGTACCTCCCTGAAAACATTTTCCTTCCACTCGGGAGCGCTTTCCACGCACGGGCATCTCCTGGGAGTGACGCCCACGCCCCGGCACTCCCCAGGCAAGCCCTTCCTCGCTGAGACCCAGCAGTGGTGTTCCCTGAGGACACACTGCTGGGACAGGGCCGCCCACAGCACCCAAATAGTGAGTCAGGAATCTGCTGCCTCGCTGGGGCCAGCCTGGGCCCAGCACGGCGCTGGGAGAACGGCGGCAGAGCCAGGGAGAGCAGCCTCCTTCCCCCAGGACACAGCTCCTGGGCTCTACCAGCAGCACAGGAGGGGAATAGTTAGGACTACCATGGATCTCTAGCAAAAGCTGTTGGGCTCATCCTGTCTGTTGGAATGCCAGCCAGGTAGGATGGGTATAATTTCCTTGGGTGCATCACTGTGCTGGCAATAACAAGCAGAAACACCAGCCATAGCCACAAAGGCAGGCTGAGATTGCCCCCACCTGCAAACAAAGGCTGTAAAGAGGGATGAGGGTCATTTCAGAGAGTATTTCAGGGGTGCAGCTCCAGAGGATGCCCAAACAGGGCACCAGTGCCCAAGTCAGAGTCCCAGGAAGCAGCTGCTCACTGTGCCCATCTGAGAGGCTCCTCATGCTTCCTGGTGGCAACAAGTCACTATGAGGATCTGCAAAATGGTGCTGGGGAGGGAATAACAATGACAACAACAACAAAAAATCCTTCAATTCACAAAGTGTTGAAATCTGGCAGCAAGGAGATCTTTTGCTCAGCTTCTCTTCCTGCCCACTCGCTGGCGAGTGATGCACAGCCCCCCCACCTGCCTTTCTCACACCCTGTCACCCTCCCCCCCCAGCTATTGAAAAAAGGAAAACTAAAGTTAACTTTCCACGTCCCACACAAATATTTTTGGCAGGCGTTGCTGGCATTCAGGCTGCTGAGCCCGGGGGAGACAGGGTCTGCTGAAAGTCTTTGTCTCCATCTGCTCCCGGCACCCGGCTGGGGGTCTGCAGTGCCTGGGCTGCTCTGTCCCAGACACAGCGCAGGGCTAGGAGGTGCCACAGCTGTAAAAGAAAACGGGGGCACCTCCAGGACAGCCCTGGGGACCGTGAGTGGCCCAGCCACAGGAGTGCCATGAAGTGTGGGGGGGGGGCAGATTGACACCCAAACTTTGGCTCTGTCCCCGCTTTCCCGCGTTGTTCTCAGCCACATCCCTGCCCCACGCCGGGTTTCCATCACCACGAAACGAGGCGGGAAGGGGTGTGGAAGCTGTCCCCAGCACAGCGGGGCTCTCGGGTTTCCCCGGGTCAGGCAGCGGGTCGCTGTCACTCAGGCAGGACCCTGCTGCCCAGACTTGCAGTCCCCAGCTCCAGTCACAAGATCGACCCAGTCCCTTTCCAAAATAGCCCAGCTGCAATGTATACATCTGGGGAGCTTTACACCTCCCCTGTGCCAGCAGCTGAATGTCCCCTCAGGGGAGCTGGGCACCTTCCTTCTCCACGTGGCACCTTCCTCCCGTGGCCCTTTCCCTCAGGACAAGGGGACGGGGTGGCTGCATCCCCCAAGGGCAGCCCCACATCCCTGTGTTTCTGTAAGGGAGCGCTGCCCTCGCAGCTGACACCGGAGACACCTCGGGTGTCACCAGCAGCATTTGGTTGCCCTGTGCTCAGCCACTCTCCGGTCTGCTGCAATCCAATCTCCCTCCCAGCTCCCCGGGTACCTGGCCAGGACGGCTGAGCACGGCAGAGCTGCCTGTGGGGTGATGTCCCTTGCACAAGGACCCCGCTGCTAAACCCAAAGCCCTGCACGGCTGGGGGTCACCTGTGCCACCCCAATATCCTTCCACGGGAGAGCAGGGCTGCTTACAGCCAGAGGGGATGGCAGCAGCAGGGACACGGCTGGGCTGTGCAGGGCGGAGGGACAGAAGCTGGCAGGCTCCAGTGCTCAGGGAAGGGGCGCAAGGAAAGTGGGATGGATGTGATTGCCCCCCGGCATGGCAGGGGATGCCTGCTCCCTGGAGTGAGGACGGGCACGGCTGCTCCTGGCTCGGGGCAGGCAGCACAGCAGCCGCCAGCGGCCTGGGGAAAACAAAAGCCACTTGCAGCTCTGATTTACTACCTGACGGAAACCGGGATGGAAAAAACAACATTTCTGAATTCCTGTCCCCGTGCAACCCCTGCGATCCCAGCAGCCCAGCCCTCTGTGGGACACGGGCTGGCAGGTGGGTGCCCTGTGCCTCATTCCGTGCCCACAGCTGGCGGGCAGAGGCAGCAGAAGGAGTGATGGGGATGGGCACGGCGGCTGCGGGCACCTGGGCAGCGGCCGTGAATAAGCGGTGAGCGAAGCAAGGGAGGAGGAGGAGGAGGAGGAGGAGGATGACAGTGGCATCCCGGCCAGCTGGACCATGTCCCCTCCCTCCCCACCCCGCGCGGGAAGGAAGGGCTGGATGTGGGCTGGTCGCATCCCTCTGCGCGGCTCCCATCCAGCCCTGGCCGGTCCCTCCGCGGTCGGGGAGCAGCGGGGCTCTCCCTGGGCAGCTCCCGGCCAGCAGAGGCTGCCCGGCTCGGACAGGGCTGGGGAGCAGGAGGGGCAGCTGTCCCTGGGAGGGCAGCACGGTGCAGGCCGGGCTGGACTCAGGGTGAAATGGATTTTCTTATTTTGTACCCCGGCACAGCATCCCAGCCCAGCCCCAGAAGGTGTTTGCCCCACTCCACCACCCCCATTCCACGGGGGTTTTGGTCAGGTTTTGGTGCTCAACACACCCACTCCCCCCCTCCCACTGCTCAGCCCACGTTCCAGTTCCAGAATCCAAGAAACCCTGATGCTCCACAGAGACGTGCATCCATCAAACATCAGCCTGTGCACTCCAGCCAGGCAGCACTGATCCTGCTCTGCCCTCCTGGCTGGGTTCAGAAGTGAACCCACCCCTTCCTGCCATCCCTAGGGGGCCCATCTGACCTGAGGGTCCCAACCAGACAATCCTGGGAGCTGCCCATGCCCTGACTACAAGACAGCCCCATGCAGGGCAGGTCCCAGCCTGTCCTGCTCTTTGCTCGGCCTGAACCCTGACCCCAGCTCCAGCTGCTGCATTCCAGGGAATGAGAACACCCTCAGTCTGGCTCGTACAGCTGCCTCAAGCCCTTCTCAGTGCAGTTCTGGGCAGCAGAGTACCAGGTTTGCCATGTCCCACCAGTTCAGCCTGATGCAAGCAAGCCCAAGGTGTCACCAGGGGGTGGCCATCCTGAAGGTCCTCTGGACCCTACTGCTGTGGCACAGAGGGTGACCAGCTGGAGCCTCAGCAGGTCACTACAGGAGCCAGGGATGAAACTGCAGCTCAGCCTTTTCAAAGCCCAAATGAAATGCAAAAACCAGAGAGGTCCAAGACAGAAGATGAATTGAAAAATCAAGCTCTGGTCAGTGTGGCACAGCTGTCCCCAGGACTGGCACCACCATGGCTGCAAGGTGAGCTGGGTTGGCAAGCCAGGTTCTGGCAGTTTTGGGCTCCACACATCCCTGTCTGCCCGGGGCAGCTCACCTTCATCACCCATCCTGCAGGAACATCCTGGCTGTGCAGCCACCAGCTCTCTGGCAC